ATTTCACTTATGAGTATATGTTCAAGTGGCATCCACTTCAATATAAAGGCTTGCAGTTTATCATTCTTAATAGCTGAATAATACTCCATTGTGTAAGATGGATAATATTCTATTTACTTAAAATGAGGTGTGACTATATTATGGAATGTGAGTTTTTTGGATAAGCCTCATTGATATCAAAGAGGTTCCTCTTGAATCATGTCAGATGATATTATGATTATTTTTGTGCAGGGTCTCACTACACAGCTGGAACTCATAGTGATCCTCCTGATTTGTACCTCCCTGGAACTGGGAGAGATGATATTATTACAATAAACTTTTCTTACTTGTTCACATGTAATTCTGATGTGTACATGGAAAGTTCTAACTTTTTACATAGGGAACCAGACCTGAACAAGCTATGGACCTTTAGGAAACTTCTGTCCTGTCCTGCTTGGAAGGCAACATCTAAGCACGTATGAGAGGCGGAGAGCAGGAGCAGGCACTGATCGCTTGGGACTGAAACCAGGGCTGAGGTGGTTGCATGATGTGAGTGAGAAGCTGGGTGGCTGGCAGGCTCCACTGCTCAGCTTTCTGGTACATCCTCATAGATGGGGTTTTCATTTCTGTCAGCTTTCAGTCACTGTGACAAAATATTAACAGGAAGAAAGATTCTTGTTGGCTCTTGCTCTCGGAGGTTTCAGCCCATGTTCGCTGGCTCCTTTACTTCGGGCCTGAGGTAAGGTGCAACATCATGGCAAAAGGAGTGCCAGGGCAAACTGTTGATATAATGATCAGCAAGTCAAGAGAGCATAGGAGAAATTCAGTGGAAGAGCCCCTTGGGGATGAGAGAGAATACCCAAGGTCAGACCCTCATGATCCACTCCCTTTAACTAGGCCTCCCTTATTTTTCCATCACCTCCCAATAATGCCATGAAATCATGAACGGACTAATCCACTCAGTGAAGTTAGTCTTCATGATTTCATCACCTCTCAAAGAACTGCTCAGGTGGTAACCAAGCCTGCAGCACAGGAGTTGTTGGGGATACTTCAAACCCAAACTATAACACTCATCTACCTGTCAAATTTTCTCCTCTGTTCTTTCCTTTCAGTGCATCTGTTTTCTTTATTTTATCCAGATTAATTTATAAGAAAAATCTGCTTCTCTTAAGGACCTGGAGTGGTTTTGCATGTTAGATTTTTCTTGGTCTGATGTTATTGTAGATGGGAAGTAAAAAGGAAAGCATTTGATAAGAGTACTTTAGGATGGTTTCTTAAAGTAGGTGGATGGGACTGTTTTGAACTAAGTTCTGAAGAATATGGATGACATGCTTTGCTTCAGTACAAATGAACTTTAAATTTTATGATAGTTACATGTTTTGAGTCTAATGAATGGTGGTATTGTTGTCTACTTTAGAATGTACAATTCTTGGGCCAAGGGCAAGTGTTCTCAGTTTTGATTTCCACAGAGCACATAGCAGAGTAAGAACATACTCATTAAGCATCATCTCTTCTCTGAAGCTTTTCATCATCCTCTCCAGACTGAACTGTTACTTTCTGATTTTTTTCTCATGTTCCTTTGAAAAAAACCCCATGTCTTTGCTTAGGTCATCATAACATAGACGAGGCCACTTAACGACACTTAAGATCAACACAGTGGCTGACTTTGTTACTGGTGAGGGCTCACATTTTGGCTTGTAGGTGGCTGCCTTCTCATCAGGCAGGGAAGAAGGTGGATCTATCATACCACCTCTTATAGAAACACTAATCCTGTCAGATCAAGGGTCTATCCTTATGGTTTCATTTAACCTTAATTACTTCCTATTCCCAATGTAGCCACACTGGAATCTGACACTTCAATGTATGTGTTTTGGGGAGATACAATTCAGTTCAACACAACCTGTAACATATTACTTTGTTTATATCTGTGATTAAAAATCACAAAGATGGGGGCTGGGGAGATAGCTCAGTGGTTTAAGCACCTGCATGGCAAGTGCAAGGTCCTCAGTTTGATTCCCTGTGCCAAAGGATTTTGATCTCAAAGAGCCTTATTAAGTTTCTGTTGCTGCTGTAACAATTTACTATTATTTTCAATGTTTTAAAACAATACACATTTACTGTTCTATACTATTCTGGGTTAGACATTAGGAATAGGAAAAACTGAGGGAAAAATCAAAGTGTCCACAGGGCTATGTTCCCCATAAAGGCTTTAGGAGAATGTGTTTCCTTGTCTTTTCCAGTTTTATAGAGGATGCCTGCATTTTTTGTTTTTTGACTCCTCATCTCTATCTCCAAAGCCAGAAAAGTTGCATTTCTGTGACTAGTTTTCTATAGTTATATCTGCCTCGTATACAGCTGAAAATAGTTCTCTACTCTTAAGGATCCATGTGCTTTTAGTGGGCCCATAGGATGATCTAGGATAATCTAGACCTCAGAATTTTTAATTATGCATATAATTCCATCTATTGCTTCAGGTACCATTTTAGGTCCTGGGCTTAGAATGTGGATATCTTAGAATGGTCATTATCCTTTCTACTAGTGGCGGACAGGAACATGTAAATTAGTTACTTAATAAAATGTCCAAGTGTAATACTGGAAAAAATTATATATGGCATAGAGAAAGATGGTAGTTTGACAGATGTCGGATACAACAGAGGCACTAGCAGCAAGGATGGAGAGGAGGAAGAGGTGGGTTCTTGGAAGGTAGAATGGACATGAGTTAAGGACCATTTTGATGTAAGGGCTAAGGAGGAGAGGTAATTAGAATGACTTCCAGATTGTGAATTGGGACTTAGGCCTTCTGATGAAGGAATGCACTAGAGGATGTATTTATTAGGATTTTTAGGTTTTAAATAAAAGAAATCTGACCTGCTTCTGGGGAGTGGAGCATTTTGAGGCCCAGGCCAGTGGCCCCTGGCTCCAACAAGCACACTACCTTGAGGTGGTGGAGTAATCAGAGAGAAGGGCTCTGGGAAGGTGCCTGAAGCAGCACTGAGCAGTCAGCAGTTGGGCTCTGGAGAACTCCACTGACAGATCAGTTCTGGCCTCTACATCCAGAGGCCAAGAGCAGCTCCATACCCGGCACATTTGTTTATTCATTTACTCGTTGATGGACTTTTTGATTGTTTTCAGGTTCTTCATGGTTACAAACATTTTTACATAAGCTTATTTAGGGTTAGAGGGAAGTTTCTTACATTAAATGCTGAGAGTAGAAAAGATGAGTTCAGTTTTGAGCAAGTTGAGTCAGAGGTACTCTTGAGACGTTCAGATCGTGAGAGCTGGGATCCTTTTGGAGTGCAGGTTGCAGACGTGCTCTAGCTATTTATATTTCTGTAGTCTGTAGTCTTTATGCTAAGTTAGAACCATGGGAACCCAGGTGGAGCCCAAGTACCAGACAAGAAGATGCCTATATATTAACTCCGGAGAACTGTCATTACAGGGGCAGAGGAAAGAAGAATCCTTTAAAGAGTTTAAATAGCGTGGCCATTTATCTTTGTGCCTCCATCAGAAGGCACAGGATCTTAAAGTCACTGTTAAGTATGCTAAATTTAACAGGACAGACTGCCAGTTGTTGGTTATTGATAGACCGCTGTAATCTAGCTCCTCATGCTATCCAGCAAATATATTGGGAAGAGAGGTGGTTTAAGGAATCTGAAAGGCCAGAATGAGCATTGTAGATTGAAGTGGGGCTGGGAAAGAAATCCAGATGAACTACACCTTTTCTCATCCCAGGGAGGCTGAGGGCAAAAGTCAGAAAAGATGACTAGGTAAGGACATGTTATTCAGGGCCTTGGCTGGATGTCCGATTAAAGAATTTAGAGTTCAACAGGGTAGCTACCTCCCAAGTGAGGCCATCGAGGATTCTGGAGTAGAGCTGACTCATGAAATTTCCTTGTGGGAAGTGAACTCTGATGGCAGTGGCCCTAGTGACAGTGTTTTGTGGTCAGCTACGATAAGTGCTTTCCATCGGGCTTTGTCATAGTAGCTATTTGGAAAGAAGCAGTGTCGCCAGCTGATGGTGATTGCGGACCAGTCCCTGACTAAGGGTTGTAACTTTGCCTCTTAGCTTCAACCAAAGAAGGCAGAGGTGGTGGCATCTGGCCACAGCTGGGAGGCAGTGCGAGCGCGCGCAGCTGGAGCTATAGGGCTGGGATGCTGGTGGGCTGGCTGGTCGGCCGAGGGGCGGGGCTGGCCCTGCCGTCTGGGAGTCAGGCCCCGCCCTTCGCCCGCGCACGCGCTCTGTGGGGCTGTTAGCTGTCAGGCGCGGAGCTGCGGGCCAGCGGCTGCATCCGACGTCTGCTCCTGGACCCCGCGCTCGGATCCCAGCGCCCCAATATCCGTGAGGGCAGCGCGACCCGGCTCCTGGCCAGAGCGCCGAGGCGAAAAGGGACCCGTGGACACCTGGCCGCGCAGGCAAGATGGGGAACAGGGAGATGGAGGAGCTGATCCCGCTGGTGAACCGTCTGCAGGACGCCTTCTCGGCGCTGGGACAGACCTGCCTGCTGGAGCTGCCGCAGATCGCCGTGGTGGGCGGCCAGAGCGCCGGCAAGAGCTCGGTGCTGGAGAACTTCGTGGGCAGGTGAGCGCACAGGGCGCGGGGTGGGGGCGCAGCCCGGGGGTGACCCTGCCCCGGGCCGTTGGACTCTGGACGGGCGGTGAGAGCCGGAGCGTAGATGGGCTGCGGCCGAATGCGGGGCAGAGTGGCACTGGCAGTGGGACGGGCGGGGTCCTTCCTGCTCCGGGCATCCTCCATCCCCGCCCCTTGCGTTTTGGCCCCCCTGTCTCCCGTTCATCCTGCGATACAAAGCCATTTCCTCCCGGTCCTCCGGCTGGGGAGTCAGGGGAGGGGTCCGCCCCAGGATCGACTTCCCCCGCCTGGCGCGCCAGCCCTGGGCAGCCTGGATGCTTACGCGCCGGGTGCTTTCCAGACCCCTTCTCTTCGGTTTCCCGGCTCAACATCCTCCTCCTTTTCCTGTCACTCTACCCGAGGCTCTCTGCCAGGCTGTGGGGTTTCATCCCTCGACCCTCCCCCCTTGCGGTGATGCTTTCTTCTCACCCTGGTTCTCTGATCCTCTCAGTTATGTACTGCTCCAGACCAATGTCGCCTGTCTCTAGCGGGAAGGCGGGGTGTGAGGAGAAAGAAAACGCTTGTGTGTTGGAGCTTTATCTAGAGATTCTTCCCCACCATTCTCCTCCTGGAAAGTCGAAGAATAAAATTGATGTGTTTGCGTGTGCACCTATTCACAGTTCTAGGCATGTGTCCTGGAGGCTGAGGCACAGACAGCCAGGGGGTGGACGTGGACTTGTGGGGCCAGGTGCCATGTCATTCCTGCATCATCTCAGGACTGACCAGCATCTTTCTCGCACTCTCTTGGTGCCCCCTCCCCCAGCATACTCTTCCATTCCTTGAGCTCTTATTTGCCCTGCAAGTCTTCAAGATAACATTCTGATTCCAAATTGTTCTTATGCTATGCTTTCCTCACGATTCTTAATACAGAAAAAGCTAAAGAATTAATTTTGAAAATTGGGATTCAACATTTATTCTGCTGAGCAGTTCAGGAGGGATTAAGTTACCTTAATGGCCTTGCTGAAGAGTGCAGACATTTACCAAGAAACCCATTTAGAAGCATCATGAAAGCTGAAATCTGTTTCCTAGTAGTAAACCAGGTAGAAAGGCACAGCAGCCGAGAGAGCTGGAGAGGGTCAATCCAGAGATTGTACTTTATTCTTTCTATTTGGCACGTGAGTGACTTGCAGTGCAAAAGGTTCCTGCTCGTGTTCTGTCTTCTTTTTGTTAGTGCTTGGTGATGTGTAAAATGTAGAGCTGGATATTCCCACGTCTCTAAGGGGGGGGGTGTTAGTATTCATAAGGTGCATATTTTTCTCAGACGATGCTTCTTCTGTCTGATGAACCTCTTCACTTTTTCTTTTTCACGAACTACACAGATAATCTAATAAAAAGTAAAATTTAGTGACAATTGTCTGTTATTTTTGACTAATTTAGTCACTTTGCCTCTGTCTTAATAATCTCTCAGTGATAAATGGAAAAAGTGCCAGTGAAAAGTGCATTTCGTCTGCGTCATCTTAGACTTCTTGTGAAGGGATGGATTTGATTAATTACATTTTTTTCTAAACAGATACTTAAAGATTGAAATTTTAAGTATTTTAAATGCAATTATCATATTTTCAAGTTTAGTTGGATGAACTTATCTTCTAAGTGCATTATTTGTGGCCAGAGCTTTGGACTTAATGTAAATTTTATGCATATATCTCAATTCTACTCTCCAGATTCATAAATTCTAAATCTTAGTAACACTATAATTCAGTTGTGCACATTCTCTCTTACTAGCCATCTTTTTTCTAATGAAAATAAGAAAAAAGATACAGAACAGTAAAATATTTAATCTTGAATATTTTTCATGATGGAATGAAAAATAGGGACATTATAAATGTAAAAATCAGAATGCTTAATAGAATGTATTAGGAATTTGTTGTACTTTAAAAGTTTCAATAATTGTTACTGTTAGAATGATAGAGAAAAGGAAGAAAAGAGGGAAAACTCAATTAACAAATATGTAAAGACTTCATTATCTGTAGAGGTGACAGTTGTCTAGCAGAGGTTATATATTAAGGAGAAAACTTAATTAGAAAGGTCATTTGACTTTAATAAAGATTTCAGTCATTGAATTATTGAGGAGTTTGATTTCTAATTATAACCCAACCTTAGGGAAAATGAAGTTCTCTATTTTGATAAAAGATTCAGAGGAGCCAAAAGAAAAAAAAAAAAAAAAACAAAAAACAGTATTCACATTCCACTAAAACCTTTTAACTTTTTCTTTATTATCCAAGAATTTTGCATTCAGTGTAAGATCTTTTTTACAAAAAGATGCAGCTTTTTACATGTAACTGTTTTCATTTGAAGATCATGGCCAAATGTGCAGTTCCTGAATTAGTCGTAAAACAAGGGGTCATTGCTTGTGTAAATTGTTTGCTTATGATTTAAGCTTGTTCTTTTGAAAATAATGGTGCATTTTTCTCCTTAATATGTAACAAATTGCATTTAGTGGACTAACTATATCTTTTTCTCTCAGACAGTTCACTTAAATTGATTTTTTGACACCATTGAATGAATTTGGATGTGGCCGTGTTTACTTTATTTAACTGTAGCTGTAAAAACCAATTTTTGGGTGACAAGTTTGAGATTGTTATGAATAAAATGAGTCATGAATGAACTACTTGTTTGTGATTTTCTTGCTGAAGTGATGAATTTACATATTAATGTGATATGGTATGAGTAACCAGATTGTTCTTTTAGGTTGCTCAGGATGAGATATATGCTGGCAGTGAGAAGCAGCTTAAGGCCTAATGAATAGATGCTGAGCTCCATGGTTTGAATATAGGGTTTCACTAGCTGGCTTTATTTGGCCCTTTTGTTTACTTTGTATATGGAAGAATTGAATGTATTCAATTTTTTGCGTATGTATGTATTTATAGGGCAGTGATAATAATAATAGTTAACATTTACTGAGGATTTGCTACAGGTCAGCTAATGTTTTGGATTCTTTTATGTAGAATATCTCTGTACTCATCATAAAACTCCAGATATTCAGGTACTGTTCATGAGTTCCATTTTACTGACAAAGAAATTAAAACTTAGAAAGCTTGAGTAACTCATTCGTTGGCTAATTTAACATAAAATAACAGTGAACTGAAGATTCAACCCAAGATTTTTGAGTCCAGTAATCCATGCTCCATAATCCATTACCACACCATACTGAGATTTACCAATTCCTATAGTAAGTACTTTCAACTTCTTCATTGCTACTATATAAACAGTTTATGTAAATAAGAAGCTATTATATTAATACTTTTATTCATATTTATTTATGTGTATCTTCATGGCCTCACTTTGCCAAAGAGTTGATTTGAGGTAATCCTTCAGGCTGGAGCATGATTGATTAAAAGAATGTGTTTTTCTGTACTATATTAGCCATTCTTGAAGAGGATTCTAAAAATGTAATTGGGTTGTTTATTTAAGTATATGCTTACAGTGTATATAACTTGTTTACAGAGGTGCTAAGTGAAAACAATACTAGTTGCTAATGTGAAAATGTTTTTTAATGATACATTTGTTGGGAACATTAGTCCTTCAATGCTAATTATATAGGCAGAAGACTCCACATTATCTTATTCTAGCCTGAGTGCTAAATAGACTTTCAATTCTGCACAAATAGAAATGTTTTGGGGCTAATGGTGAACAAATAAAAGAATCATGGACTATTTTTCACTCAACAGTGAATTGGTAGAACTTAAAATCATACAGCTATTTTTTTTTTGCTGAATTAATACTGTATCATCTATTCCTATGTTATCACAAGTATACACTTGATAGGGTTTAATTACCATAAGCAACTTAATTTCTGTTTGCATTAATAATGTGTGAAAAGAAATACAACTAGTTAAACTGGACTGGATGGAATATCTGTTTTAGAATTTACTTATGCACTTGACTTAATACAAAATAATGCATTTTACTTAAGAATGAAATTAGATAGGCAGTCATTCAGAACAATGGAAGAGTGGAAACAATATTTAGCAGGGTAGATTATTAGTAGTGTTGTGGGGAGATTAGGGAGTTCTCCATTAGTGGAATATACACTATGTTTATAATTTTACATTACATTAACAATAGCAGAGGCTTGGAATTTTATAAAGAAAAGGTTACTTAGCTCAGAGTTTAAAGACTAAAGGTTTAAACAGCATAACATGGTGGTGAGGGCTTCATAGTAGATGGCATCATGGTGGTACATACACCAGAGATCACATGATAAGACAGGAAACCAGTGTGAAAGAGAAGGGCCCATCTTGTTCCTTTTAATAACAACCCGTTCTTTCTTTCTTTCTTTCTTTCTTTCTTTCTTTCTTTCTTTCTTTCTTTCTTTCCTTCTTTCTTCCTTCCTTCCTTTCTTTCTTTCTTTCTTTCTTTCTTTCTTTCTTTCTTTCTTTCTTTCTTTTTTTGATGGAACCTGGGATTGAACTCAGGCCCTTGAGCTTGCCAGGGAAGTGCTTATTCTACTGAGCCTTCTCCCTGGTCCCAACCCTTTTTAAACTAACCAATTTTGCACAATTCTTTCTAAGTGCAGAGATCCAAAGACCTTATTAATCACCTTCCTCTAGACCCTACTTGTTCCTGCCACCTCTTAATGTTGTCACACTTCTAACTCTTGTTGGACAAGCCACACTCATTCCATTGCAGCATATCTGACCTTTATCTCGCTCCAGACATTTTGCTAGGAGTAATTAATGGAGTTAAATTATGAGCTTTTACTTATTACTATGACCTAACTTAATTTTGAGAGGACTACAAGCTACTAGAAAGAGGTGATTTTTTTTCTCTTACTAGAGTCAAGTGAACCCCAAGCAAATATACCATATAGAAAAACCAATTTAACTTTCCCTACATCTGAACTTTTGCTATTTTCTTAGCAATTTCTCAAACATTCAGCATTGATTTAAAAACCCAAAGAATTGTGTTTACTAAACACATTTTTATATGGTGGGAGGAAGAAAGGGGCCAAC